CGGGCGTCACGGCCTGCGGGGCCGGGCGGCGGCCGGGCAGGAGGGGAGGGGAGCTGGTTTGGCTCCTTAGTTGCCGTTCGGTCTTGTTAGATCGCAGCTACAGCCTGTTGAGCTCTCTCCTGGAGCTGGGCCTGTGAGGTAGGCCGTAAAGGCTTCTGCGTGGTTTAAGGAAAATTTCCATCCTAACCAACTGCAGTTGCTGTCAGGGTTTCCGCCATCTGTTTGGTGTGTTTCTTTGGGGAAGGCACAAGGTGTGCATTAATGCTGCCTTTAGGACCAAAGCGCTTTGCAACTAAGACATGCAGCAGTCACCTCTGCTCTCATGTGGGACTGTTCCTGCCGACAGCCAGTCTAATCTCTTCCTGAAAACCTACTGATTCACTTTTATTCGCCATAATAAGGAATACCTGCTTAATACCCTGCTGACTAGTGAGGCTTTTCACGGCACGATTTCAATAAGGGCGATTCTGCGGTCTTCCTAGGTGGCCCGTTTCAGCACTCGACTGTCCTTCAAACCACAAAGTTTTTGCCCGGCATCTAAACTGTACTTTGTGAATTTGAGTTTCTTTGCCCAGCACCTAGCAGATAGAGCAATTAATAAGCATCAGTTTACACTGAGATTTTAGATATCGTATCATTTCATGTAATATTATCATATTCTCCCTTAAAGGTCACGTTTCTAGACTAAATTCTCATAGGTCTCATGATCTCATAGGCCGTCTAAACCTTTTGTCATTCATTCTTGGGCTGCTCCAGACTCCTTGCTTTCCTTCTTGCATTCCTCCTTGCACCTATCTCCAATCATCAGGTTAATTAGGGAACCTATCTCGGCATGGCATTTGCCAACTTAGCAACAGCATCACCGTGTTGGTTCAGATTCTTCTTCTGATCCCCTGTAATCCCCGGATCCCTTTCAGTGCTGCTCTCTGAACAGCTGTTCCCCCTATTCTTGACAAATTCATGGCGACTTTTTGATTTGTCCCTTTTTACGTTGCCTCAAAGTGATCGCATGTCGATAGTTTGTTATCTTCCTGGATTTTGAGTTACGCTGAGCAGGTTTCCATCCACGGGTCCAACTTTCTCCCCCTTCCTCCAGTCAATGTAGAACCATCACACGCCATGATTTTTTTTGTAGATACACACCAATTATTCAAGACTGGCGTCCTAAATACTGGGAAGTGCATTTCCCAGGCACTGCCGACCTCGTCATAACCACATAACCGAAATGCAACTTAGTCTGTTCCTCCCTGCTGCTACCTGTTGCTGCCATCTTCTTTAAAAGGTTGTGTTTAGTAAGTGGTGGCAATTCCTTTTATCTGAAGGCTGAAGCAAAGAAGGCACAGCTTTTTTTTATGTGTATATGCCTTGCTTTATTTGTTCTCCTTTTCTGTCAGTAATAAGATTTTCTTTTGTTTTGCTCTTACTTGCAATGTGTATAAATAGAACGTGTTCCTATGTCCATGGGTTTCTTTCTCTCTCATGACCTGTAAATCATGCCACCTTCAAGCTCTCTTGTATTAACCAAGATTATAAATAGCGTTTCCGATAGTTTTCTCCATCTTCTGAACTGAAAATTGTCTGAAACACATTTCAAGAGCTCTTGGTCTTTTTTCAAGAGTCTGTGTCCGATAACAGAAGTTCTCCCTTACCACCGAGGTTTGTGCTTCAGTTGCTTTTGTCAGTTGCGTTGAAAGGTTTCGCCTGTCTCCCTGCAGCTATTGTTTCACTCTTTCTGTATTCTATGAGAAGTCTTTGTACATTTGTGGAAAAGGAATGGGAATTTGTTGAAGACTCTGTGAACATTTTCTCCTGAACAACTTGCACGATGGGCAATTTGGTTGAAAGCTTGGATCAAAATCTGCACTGGAAATTAAGCACAGATTTAAAATTCACTACTAATTTTTGCATTATATTCGCTATGCCTTCTTTTTCACCTTTATATTTTTTTGAAACATTTTGACTCTTCTAAAAATGCTCATTAAACCACAGACCGACCTTAATAGTCATTAGTTAGAAAATCACTTGCCTCTGGATAGATATGATAAACTATAAATAGATACAATGCTGTTACACTGGAAGTGTGAATGGCTGTTACTCTGCAGACCTATAGAAAATGACAGACCTGGTTGTAGCCTATGGATATTCTAAACGCCCTTCCTTCAGGCCAAGTGGAAGGAGCAATTAAATATTCCTTTATGCAATAAGAACTGGAAAGAACAGGAAGTCACCTGTCAGCTCAGTGGGGAGGTGGCCATGGCTGGTTGAATTTTCTTCTAAATGGCAGAAGCAACTGTATGTTTACCTGTGACCAAGCCAAGCGGCTGGTAAAAGAAGCACTGGCCATGCGATGAAGACCGTCCGTCCTTGCTGTTCCCTCTCAGTGTTCAAGCAGAGGAGACCATGGCTCCACGCAGTAGCACGAATCCGACCCGGACAGGGAGCAGGCTCACTATGACGTTGGTCACCGCACACGGTATGGAGGTCACGGGAGCTCCGTGGCTGTACGGTAGCTTTGCATCGGGCGTGAAAAGACAAAAAGGATCTGAGGATGTGTTAGAGTGGCATGAACTGATCTGGAACACAGACTGCCGGTACAAAGCTAACCGGTTAAACCTTTTTGGTAAGTTCGGCCCGGGAGAGTAAGTTTATTTGGCTTGAACCACATGGTCTTCTATGGCGTTTTTGCCAAAACTGGCACTTTTTATTCAGTACAAAAAGACCTAAATCTGAATTTATGATATGATATCACGGGACAATGTCAAGGGTAAATCAAAGCAACAAACCAGAAATTAATCTTTTTTGTGCTACTGTTTCCATGAGAAAACTTCATGCTAAAATTTTAATTCTGCTTCTGTAACTAGGTTATTGACTCTGGAGGTAAAAACATCCAGCCTACAAACAGTAACATCTGTGTCAAAACAAAACTGACCAACACAGCCAGCACTCTGAATGGCCGACGCTAAACTTACAGAGCAATGCTCAAGTGTTGAGTAATATTTAGAAAATTGGGAACTTAGAGACAACCCAAGTGCTTGAAAAGACTTTCAGACTGAAACTATGGCAACTGGGTTCAGTTTTTGCCCCCTAATCTTTGCAAAATAGGGCAAGACTCAGTCAACTCGATTTTGATACCCCGGTGGTCTTTACTCCTGGCTGCTCTGTGTCCATTAACCAGGCATCTCGGGGATCTACACCTCTCCAGCATCCTCCAAGGTGCTGGTAACCACATCTTCAACATCAGATGGTTCTGCAGATGTCTGCCGGTTCCCAGTATCTCATGTAGATTTTCCTGCCGTTGCCCAAGGCAGGAGCAGCCTGCAGAGGAGGAGAGCCTGCTCCTGATGTCAGCGAAGACCTGCAGGACTTGATGAATGTTTTCCTAGATCACCTTCTTGAACTGAAGCAGATTAAGATATTCCTGAATAAAGGCAAAATACATCAAAGTCACTCCTGGGTGACTGACTTCGAGCCTTCCCCAAACGGGCTGTTAGATATATGTTGTTTTCTCATTCCTCTGTGCTAAAATTCATGTTGGTTTTGAACATTAGGAGATTCCTTTAGATCACGGGATCACAGTAGTCTTGCAGCTCTCCTGGTCGTGCTGTTCAGACCCGAGGCATTTTATTCCCTGATTCGTCTGTCTCTAATGCATAAAGGCTCGGTCTTACTGAAGGCCCAGGGATGATGCCGTTCCTCACCACCGCTGCCTCTGGAATCAGAGGGGTGGAAGAGATGCAGCAGCAGGAGCTGACATGAAGCTGCCCTGACTACCCTGCTGACGCCTGCCGTGACCACCTCTGTTAAACCAGAAGCAAGCACGACATGGGCTCTGCACACACTCAGCTCCCAGCCTGGTTTGCATAACTGCAACAGCCCCATGACCACGAATTCGGAGGCAAGGGAAATTAGGATTCTGTACGCGCTCATAGTCATGGCACGTGTGACAAGTAATATTAATGCATACATTGTTTTGTGGCAAAATATCACCAAACCTGTTCTCATGTTATGTACCTGGCTTTTAAAGTGTCCGCTGGCCTTGTTTTTTACAGCTTTGGGGATGAGTGGATTATCGATCTACAGAAGATGTTTGTGCTTGGTTAATTTTGTAGTTTGTCCTGGGAAATTTTGTGGTTTGTCCTAGGTAAAGATTGATTTATGTATTAAATTTGCTATTGATTGCAATGAAACATGTAGCGCTTATTAATTTGGAAACATGAGGGTGTAAGTCTGTTGGTTGGGTTAGAATTCTCGTTGAGTCTGTTTGTTTTCTTTACTTCAGCAAAATCTTTTGGCGTAGCTGCAGCTTCCTAGATAGTCCTCAACAGTAAAGGGGATGACTGCAAGCACCGAAGTAAACGCAGCCTTTCCTTAAGAAAGAAATTTCAATCCATTGCAGTCAGACAAGCTGACTGTCAGCAGCAAGTTTGTCTTTTAGTTATTGCTTTCTTCCAGTTTTGGTTCTTTAAAAGAAGATGTAATTTGGAAAAGCAGTCAAAACTCAGGCTGCTACTAAAATGAAGCCAGAAAAAGCACAAAAGGAAAATGGGTAGTTTCGTCAGCTGGTCAGTTGCCAGCACTGTCTGTTACTGGCCTTTTCCTCCACAATTCTCACGTGGTGCGCACTGCTGTACAGGTCTCCAACGCATGATGACTGCCGTTACGGTAACAATTCTCTCTCTTCAAAAATACCAGGTGATGGTAGAGCGCCTGAGAAGGGAAAGGCAGGTCTGAAGAGCGGCAGGAGTCACATGTGTGGGTGAAGTGTTGCCGGTTCCTGGCCTTGCATGAAGCACTGCGTGGAGTCCTGTCCCCAAAACTGCCTGGAATCGAGCCTGGGAGCAGGGTCAGAGGGATACCACACAGGGGCAGAAAATGCAAATGCCGGACCGGGATGCATAAATAATATAATCTGCAAAATGAGGACAACTTCCAGGGGCCTACAAGCAGGATTCATCTATCCAAAAGCAGACGCTTACATTGGAGTTAGTTGCCTGGACTCCCTCTATGGTCAGCAGAGAAAAGCAGGCACCTGCGGGGTCTGCTGCATGCCGTTCCCGGACAGATGTGCAATCTGGCATTATGAACCTGAAAATATAGTTCCTCACCTAACACAAGGGCGATTATTAACAGGTTTGGTGACTTCTCGACATAGAAGTAAGTGGAAATCCCTATAACACAGGATTAACTCCATCAGCTGACTTAACAGAGATGATGAAGAGGAGGGAGGCGGCAAGGGCAGAACACACAACTGCAGTGGGCAATGTCCAGTGTCTCGATGTCGACCGCATAGCTGTTCTGTCTGAGGGTGAAGGTTAGACACTGTTAATGACTTCTTCTGGCGCAGCTGCTCAGGGAAGCCATGAAAGGAGAAGCAGCTCTCGATTTGGTTGAGGGCAGAGAACAGGACCTAACTAACCATTCTTTGAAGCAGTGACCGTTACATGCTTAAGAGTCACCACTCTGATCAGAGCAATGAAAGCCAAAGAAATCCCCTGTTCTTAATTTTGGAAAGGAGAACTCTGTAACACTGAGAAGGCTGCTTGGAAAAAAAGCTGAAAGGGGTAGATAAAAGAGTAAAAGGTTTTTATGCAGCATGGAGCCCACTGAAAGACATCACATTGGAAGCGTGGACCACATGCATAGCACCTGTCAAAAAAGTGGATAGAAGGATCAAGCATGGTTAAAAAATGGCTAAAAGGAATCAAATGTGGCTAAAAGGCAGGACATGGGAGGCTATCGGAAGCGAGATGGCATCCTTCAAAAAGCTGGACTTGTGTTCTAATGAGGAAAACAGAAAAGATCATGAACAAGTGGAATGTCAAAACCGTTGTGTCAAGACCAGAGTTTGACACACTACTTGCAAAAAAACTTAAAAAGCATAGTAAGTCATTTTTCAGGCTCGTCAGGAGCAGGAAGCCTGAAAGGCGTTTTCTAGAACGAATTGGCTATTGAGATATAAAAGGAACACGCAGAAAAGACAATGTTGGCGCAGAGAACCCAAATGAGTTTTTACATCGGCGCTTATTGTGGGGGAGGCTGGGGAAGTTCCCAGGCAGGAACTCACAAGCTTGCCTGAGGATCTGCCTCGCGCGGAGGCATCGGTAAGGGTTAGAATAAATCAACAAAGCGAATAATAACAACCTAACCATTGCCAGATGGTCCCCACCGCACCCGCAGAAGCGCGTCGTCCTTCCTTGAAAACTGCTTCCACGCAAAGCCCGAGGAGAGGGCTGCCGCCGCCAGGTTTCGAAATCCGTCCCTGGGGAGGCTCAGCACCGCAGAGCGTTGGGACCAAGTAAGCACGGCAAAGTTTTATGAAGCCACGCAACCTTTAGCGCTTTTATTTTTTTAACAAGTCTTTCCAACAGCCGTTTGAAGATGCCCAGAACACGAAAGGGAAGAGGGAGAGCAAGCCTGTGAGCGGGCCCTTTCACCGCAGCTGACCTGGTCCTGGGAAACCCCAGGGCCTCTGCAACTGCGAATGCACGGGCTGTCACCAAGTATGTAAAAACTTCAAACAGTGACACAGCAGGCATCGCACACGGATCTGCAGCTCCACTTCCCCTTCTTTCAGCTTGCCCTGAGCTCACAGCAAGCAGGAACTCGCTGGACGGGCTCAGGGAAGGCGTTCAGAGCACAAAAAGGTGTTCTGTCCAGCCCGGGTCCTGAGTCAGCAGGAGCCAGGGACGAGGCGAGGGTGCTGGCAGACCGCTGGATTCTGTCTCCTGCCTTTCAGGGCAGCAGCCCTCCGAGAGCGCCCAGCTGGACAAACTGGCCTAGCACGGCATGAAGAGAGTGACTGTTCCTGTTGTTCTGGCTGAAATCCTGGTATCCGTAGTATCCCCTTCCGTGTACTTCCCTCAGGTGCTTCAGGGTAACTGAGTGCACTTCGGGAGCCGGCGCAGGGCTTGTCGGAGCCAGGGCTAGCTGGGGCCGGCGTGACAAACAGCCGGTCCAGAGCACGAGGAAAAGGCGAGATTAAACCCGAAGCGGGGAGTCATGCACAGCCAGCCCCTCTCTGGACAGAAGTCAGCAGAGGGACGGGGAGGTGTCAGGGGCAGGGCAGGGTGACAATCCCCGCGCCGGCTGCTGTGGCCGAGCCCCGTGCTGCTGCTGTCAGTGACGGCGTGGCAGCCCAGCTGGCTCTGCTGGCAGCAGCAGGGAGCTGGAGCAGGATCTCGGGTCCGGCTGCAGATTCCCAGCGCCGGGCGAGCGGGGGGGGCTGTCAAGAG